ATATTTGTCTTTTTAATAGGAAAAAAGACCATGGAAATCTCAATTATCTTCAACAAAATCTAAAAAAGAAGTAGAAGTATGGATTGGAATGACTGTTGAGGAATTGGCCAGAGCAATGGAAAGAGACATAGGTGAGCAGAGAATTTACCAAAACAAAAAACAAACCATGAACAACCTAGAATTTTATTTGCAATGAGATTAAGGCTTTGAGGGATGAAACTTAAACCAGCACCTTAAGAAGTTGTTAAGTTACTCATTTTACTTTAGGTAAAAAAAATCCTAATAGTTTCTTGGCTCTTTGGCACATGTGGTTTCTAAGATTTTGCTTTTAATAAAAGTGGAAAATATTTTCTTATCTGAATTAAACTTTATTTTCTTCAGAGATTTTTCTGGGCTGTTAAAATAAATCTAAAGAATGTTTCTGAGCTAAGGGACATATAGTGTTTTACTTTCCCTTTCTTTTCTAAAATTTTCTTTTTCTTTCTTTTTTTTTGTGGGAGTGGGGGTGGGATCGGGCTGAGGGTGGAACCCAGGGCTGTGTGCAGGCTAGGTAAGTGCTCCACACTAAGCTGCATCCTTAATGGTTTTTTTTTACTCTTTTGAAACAAAGTCTTACTGGGTTGCCCAGACTGGCCTTGAACTTTCAATTCTTATTCCTTGCCCTTCTGAGAAGCTGTCATTATAGGTGTGAGCTGTTATGCTGGGCTTCATTCATTTTGACAGTATCTGTAAAGCTAACAGAAAAATGTGTATAGTAATAACTATAATATTTTGAACTGAAGTGCTTTGAGTCTTCCAAGTAACTGAGATTACAGCCATGTGCCACCACACCCACCAAGAAGCCGGCTTCTATGGGATTGGAAGGTTATTTTTTATTTTTTTGTGGTGCTTTGGATCAAACCAAGGGCCTCCCATATGCTAGGCAAACAGTCTACCACTGAGCCACACTCTTAGCCCGTTGGGCACTTTTCTACATGTAAATATTTAGTTTCAGATGAAGATACAATAATGTATTGATAATCATATACATGTAATGTAAAAGGGAAAAGATTATCACTCTATCAGCTACCTCAATAATTCAGGATAGCATGTTGAAAAACTGTAGTAACGATTATTTGGGATTTTTAGCATTATTAAAAACAGCATTGTATTTATAATTTTTAATGGGTTTTTTGTTTTTTTGGTTTTTTTTCCAGTACCAGGGATTGAACTCACGGCCACTGAGCTAAATCCCCACCTGTATAATTTTTACGTTTTGAAAGAGTTGTGTAGTTCTCTGAGCATATCCATATAGAAAATTGACTTGTAGCATTCTTAAAATGTGTTTTTTTGGGAAAAGATTTGGGAAATAAATAGGAGATAGTTTCTTATGCTACTGTTGACATGTAGCTTTCTGGGGCTGGCTTGTATCACTTTACAAGTCCAAACTGATACAAGCTAAACTCTTAACAAATTATGTTAGCAGGCTGTTAAATACAATCATTTTAAAAAATTAAATCTTGAAGGTAGTAGAAACCCATCAAAACTTTATTTCCCAGGCTGAGGATTTAGCTCAGTGGTTCCCCCACCTGCCTTGCAAGCACAAAGACCCAAGTTCGATCCCCGGTACCAAAAATAAACAAATAAATAAAATTAAAAAAATAAAAAGATATTTAAAAAAAAAACAAAAAACTTTATTTCCCTATTATTTTACTGCCTTTTCCTGTTTCCTATTTTAATTACCTTCAGGTTATTCCTGTCTTAGCTGTATGATAGAAATACTATATAATAGTGTGCTACAGTGCATCTCTTTCCATCTCTGAAGTCATCGACTTCATGTTGGCATCTTGAAATCAGCCATGGTTGGAGTATTTCCACTGTAGAAACTGAGAAATACTATAAATCAGGAAAAAAAATTTTTGAGAGCCTTGTTATTAAAGGCTTATCAGTGAATAAGATGTTCCTTTAGTATAAGGTTCTGCTTGAGGATGCCTTTCATTCATATCTTCTCTTTAAATTTATGTTTGTAGGGTGACTAAAAGTCTGGAAACAAATTTTTTCCTATGTGTCTAAAGTTCTGTTTGGTTCCAACCAGATTGGGTGTATGAAGCTTTATTGAACACTGCTGTTGACATAGATTCTCTAGAAGCAGACTCACATTTAGATGAAGTCTGGATCAAAGAAGTGATAAAGAAAGCAGGGATGAAGCTGAAGTGGAGCAAGTTAAAACAAGACAAAGTTAGAGAAAACAGAGATGCTGTAAGAAGGTAAAATTTACCTATACACTAGAGGAAAAAGACCACAGAGTTTAAGTCACACTTCTTAATGTGAAGATCTGGCTTAAAATTTATTTAATTAAAATGATCTGTGAGTATAGACTAAACTATTTTTCAAAGTGCTTCAAGTACAGGGCCGGGGATGTAGCTCAGCGGTACAGCGCCTGCCTGGCAAGCACAAGGCCCTGAGTTTGATTCCTGGTACCAAAAAAAAGTGCTTCAAGTACAAAAAGTATATTCAGGTTATTTTAAAACTCTAGGGTTATTTTTCATAAATGCTGAGTATATATTTTAGTATGAATTTTAAAATTTGGTTCAGTTTTTCCCATTGCTATGAAGATACCAACTATAAATAGGAAATTTTTAAATCTGTTTTAAGTCACTATATGTACTTCTTTTTTTTTTGGTACCGGGGATTGAACTTGGTACCTTGCGGTTGCAGAGTAGGCAGTGGAACCACTGAGCTAAATCCCCGGCCCCAAGTCACTATATCTAGAGAAGGGGAAAGTAGTTATATGTAATCAAACTTGAACATTGGGTTTTATTGTTAATGGTAGCTTGCAGAAATAACTACAAACCAGTTCACTAAGAAGTGTTTCTTATATTTAAGAAATGAAACTCCTTTGCTGTTAATTGTAGGCCACAGGCAGATCCAGCTTTATTAACCCCAAGGTCCCCAGTTGTCACTATAATGGGCCATGTTGATCATGGGAAAACGTCGTTACTTGACAAACTACGAAAAACTCAAGTGGCAGCAATGGAAGCTGGAGGCATCACTCAGCACATTGGTGCCTTTCTTGGTATGGACATAAATTACCTTACAATATGCTTGGGACCCCCACTTATTATTTTTTTAAGCAAATGTCATGATATGAAATATATAAATTCAAAGTAAAAGGGATAAAATTTATATAAAAGTATATAAATTCAAAGCTACAGCTTAAAGCCATTGAATTGATAAAATGTAGAGCAATTAGTTAAAAGTCATTTTGTGCTTTCTATAAGAAGAAAATCATGTCACTGCTTTTATTATTGTCCATTCTTAGTTTGGTTTAATGAGCCTAAATTTAATTAGGTCATACAACATCCAATGCGAGGTTATGATAATGTTGCTATTAATAATTAAATAATAACTATCATTTACCAAGCACTTAATATGTGCCCAACACTTTGCTAAGCATCTTATTTGCTTCATCTTTTTATTTTTACAACAACATCATGAGGTAAGTATTGATATTCCCACTTACAGATAAGGAGGCTAAGACTTCTTCAGGTTAAGTAACTTGCCTGAAGTACATAGTAAAGTGGCAAAGCCAGGATTTAAACCTACAGTTGTTGGACTCAAATGTTGAGCTACTAACTGCATACTAAATTGCTTTTCTGTGGCTCTGGGCAGTTTTAGCTGTGGTTTGCTAATTGTAAGGGTAACTGCTTATACAGCTATTGATTTCATCTGTTATCTCTCCAAATTGAATATCAATTGGTACATTTATGAAAGTGTCTATATTCTAGAAATATAAAGAGTTTTAGTTTGAAATTATTGCATGAAAAGAAAACCCTGAATGTCTCATTGGTATTTTATAAGTATTCATTATAAATTTCAATCTGTGTTGTTCTGATTAAGATACTAGTAATACAATTTTTTTTAAAGAATTGTGTTTGATAATGTCGTTTGTATTGCTCTGTGTTAAAGAAGTACACATTTGAGTCCTTAGTGTTCTTGGATTTGTTTTCACAGTCTCTCTACCTTCTGGGGAAAAGATAACCTTTCTGGATACTCCAGGACATGCTGCCTTCTCAGCAATGAGAGCCAGAGGTGCTCAGGTCACTGACATTGTCGTGTTGGTTGTAGCTGCAGATGATGGAGTGATGAAACAAACTGTAGAATCTATTCAGCATGCCAGAGATGCTCAAGGTATTGCATGGCTGACTACATGTATCAGGAAGGAGGTTGCTTTTCAAAATTTTTTTAAAGAATCTACTACATAAAGCTGCAATTTTGGATCCACTTACATGTAGCTCATTCAGTCTTCACAGCAGTGCTAGGATTGTTAAACCAGTTTTATAGATAATCTTCAAAGATAGTTTGTTTTCCTGCAGACATATAAATGAAGGGAGGAGTGTAGCAGGATTCAACTTTGGGCTTGACAAGAACTCTTTCATCTACTATGACTTTTATTTTTGAAGCAAAACATTTATTGGTACATTTTAGATATACATAATGATAACACTCATCATAGGACCTTCTCCTGTACATGATATATCCTACCTCTTCCCATTCTCCCCTCCCCTCAACTCCCCCACCCCACACTATATACAAAAGCTTTGTTTCCTTTTTTTTCTTGTCTCTTCCTTCCTTTCCCCCTTCCCCCTCCCTTGTTCCCCTTCCCATTTGAACATTTTCTTCCCATTTCCCAATATCTATTGTACATTTTATACTGTGATTTTTTTTTTTTTTGGTACTGGTGATTGAACTTGGGTCCTTGTGCTTGCGAGGCAGGCACCAGAACCTGAGCTAAATACCCAGTCCTATACTATGATTTAAAAAAAACCCAAAAAACTTTTTATCATGGAAAATTTAGACAGATGGAAAATAAGAAAGAATAATGAACTCCTATTTTCCCATTACCTAAATTCATTAGGAGTTGGATACAGGTGATACTGTTATTCTTTGTTCATTTATCTGGAATTCTTCTCTAAAGAGAAGCTTTTGAGGGAGGGGAGGTCTGAGACAGAGCCTTGCTATTCAGTTCAGGCTGGTCTTGAATTCACTATGTAGCACAGGCTGGCCTCGAACTCATCCACCTGAGTGCTGGAATTACACATGTGTGCCACCACACTTGGCTTAAAGAGAAACTTTTCTTTCATCTGTTTTAAATAAGTTATTCAGGTCAACAGTATAAAGTTGAAACTTTTGGAAAATCACTTGGCCGTCTTCTTTATTTTTTCATTTAAAAATTATAATAAACACCACACACACACACATTCCCTACATTTATTCTTATTCTGGTATGTTACACCCGCCTCCACCAAAGAAATGTACCTGATGGAGTATCATATCCCAGCCTTACCCCTCCACCCTAGTTGGCAGGGGAAAAAAAAGTTGACCGTTACTGATCATGTCCAATTCTTTCATCTTACAACATGAAAACAGACCCAGACTTTAGCAGCTAGAACTCTCCCCAATTACGTACAGTTACATAGCTAATTTGTAACTTTTTTGAATTTGGGGTCTGCATCTTCTAGCTTCCAGTGTTACTTTCTTTCCTTTTTAATTTTTCAAAACTGCCTTTGTGTATTGTGCTGCGCTCTTGATGATTCTAGGCAATACATGGAATAAAGATGAGAGGGATAAATTTAACATGGATCCTCTCAGTTGGTTGAGATGAGAATTGCATTATATTATGTATTCTACATCTATTCTTTTGGTCTTTGTTAAGTTCAAGCTCGTCAACTTGTAATACATTTTTTTACCTTATTTATTTTTTTTGGTACTGGGGATCGAACTCAGATCCTTGGGCTTCGGGAGTAATGCATTTTTTGATAGTGGTAGTGTAGATTGAAAATGTTTTTGTGTCTTGTTCAGTTTCTTTGACCCTGAGAAAATTGCAGAGATTAATGAAACTCAACTAGAATTATCTTCTAGAATTTTGTGATATCACTGATGAGAGGATATGTTTAGTAATAACAGATTATAAGAATTTTTGATTCACTTAATAATTATATATTTCTCTACTATGTTGATCACTGAGCGAGGTGTGTGAATAGGGGTGCTATTAATCCTAAAAGAAAAGTGCAATATGGTACCCTCCCATTGGCAAATTATCTGGTGGTATTGAATTAGACTCTTTTCTTAATTTCTTTTTCCTGGAGATCATCACCAGTGTATTTCCAATCTCACATTCAGGTTTAAGGATAGGCTTCTCTACCCAAAATAATTTTTTATGATCACGTCAGTTATCTGTTATTAATTCAGAATCTCCTTATAATTGGAGTCCTAATATCTTCTGTCTGGATTCCTTCTTTATATGTAAAGAGCAGAGTGGGGTGGTATGAATCTGAATAGGGCTTTTTAAGCCTTTTGTTAAATAAGTACGTTCACTGAATAAAAGCCAGAGCAGGCTGGTGTCACTCATTGTGTGTACCTAGAATTGAAGGTGCTCTCATTTGTGCTCTTCTTAACTTTGTCTCTTTCAGTTCCTATTGTTCTTGCAATAAACAAATGTGACAAAGCTGAGGCTGATCCTGAAAAAGTGAAAAAAGAGCTGCTGGCTTATGATGTGGTGTGTGAAGACTATGGAGGTGATGTTCAAGCAGTGCATGTTTCTGCACTTACGGTAAATAAGGGCATCTCAGGGATGAAAGTGTTCAGATGCAAGTTCTAGCCTCATATTTTTAAATACATGATTTATGTTGTTGGAAAAAAAGTCCTTTGAGGTCCAGGGATTTAGTTCAGCCGCACTGTACCTGCCTTGGAAACACAAGGTCCTGAGTTCAATCCCCAATACCAAAAAAAAAATCCTTTGAGTACCAGACAAAGCTGGTATTATCCTGATGTGGCTCATTAGGAATTAGGCTCAGAGAGGTCAGTTATCAGTTCAGAGTAGTATAACTCATCTGTGGAAAGTTGATTCTAACCCTAATGCTTTCTAAATCATGAGATATTTAGAACAAAGGGAATAAATGGTAAACAATGTGGGAATAGGATAACAGTAGGCTATTTGAAACAAAAAAGGAACTCAGTTGGTAATAAAAAGGACTTGTATTTCCATACCTTTAATTTTTCTAAATTTGTTACCTCCAGCATGGTTAGAAATTATGTTTGTATGTGTAGTAAAACTATTCTTTTCCTTTGAAATTCATTAAATGGAATTTATTTTACCTCTCCAGTTTATCTCAATTATAATTGCTCTCTGAAAGCTAGATGGCAAACTTACTACAATAAGATTAAAAACACCTTTTCTAGGATACTATCAGATGAGCTGATAGATGTAGAGCTTCAAAGGCCAACCAGAGATGATTCCTATCAAACAGAGAACTGAGAGAGGTTGGCAGGGAAGTAGGATGAAGTCTTCTTTTCTAAGATATAAAAGACTATTTCACACAAAGAAACAACTTCAACTGCTGTTTTGTTTCTTTCTTTCATTGATTTTGCTTTTTTTTTGAGACCATATTTTGCTTTTTTGCTCTGGCTGGACTTGAATTTACAATCCTCCCACCTCAGTCTCATTAGTAGCTGGATTATGCATGTGTACCACTGCATCAGGCCCCAGCTCTGCTTTTTTGAGCAGCATTTTATAAAATTAAAATAAATATTAGGAATAAGTGGGAGAAAGCAAAGTATTTAGTTTGGTTTTTTTTTTTCCATAGTTGTCTATTGTCTGTAATAACTATTCGAAATCACTTAGCTGACATGAGGGATGGAAAAATCCCTTGCCTATCAGTTCTACTTCTATCACGATTCATCAGCTCTGTGATTGTGAAGCCCTAGGGAGCTTAGTAAACATAAATCATTAAAGGTAAAATAATAATGTAATCTTGCCTCTTCATTTCATGGACATGTAAAAGAGATCCACGGAAGTGAGGTTAGTTTTCAGGGTTGCATAGCTAGGTGGTTAAGGAGCATGGCTTACAGCCTGGACCTAGTCAGTGCTTTTTCTCCTCATTTAATAATTCTAAGTAGCGCTTGATACTTACTTTACAAGATTCTTTTTTTTTGCTTTGTTTTGTTTTTTTGTTCTTTGGAGACAGGATCTTGCCTGTGTAGCCCAGGCTGGTCTTGAACTCATTATGTAGCCCAGGCTAGCCTGGAGCTTGCAGCAATCCTCTTGCCTCGGCCTCCTAAGTGCTGAGATTATAGGCATGTGCTACCACTACTGGCCTTTACAAGATTCTTGAGTAGATCAAATGACATAATAGATATGAAGGCTTGTTCAATTGATAAAAGAAATGTCAAGTAGCATCACTAGGAAAGTTAATGAGAGGAAAAACACACAGTCATAGAGGCACATGGAAGAGAAAGAGATTGAATAAATAATGTATTTCTGAAGGGGTATTAACAAATATCAATGGCCAACATATTTTTTAAAATACCCACAGTTCCTTAAAAGATCTGTCCCTGGGTAAGGGTTTCTTCCTGATCCTTTTCTCCTCCCTTCCTTTTTTAATTTATTTGTTTATTTATTTTTTTGGTTGGTTTTTTGAGACAGGGTCTCCCTATGTAGTTCAAACTGGTCTTGAATTCACTGTGTAGCCCAGGCTGGCCTCAAACTTGCAATGATCCTCTTGCCTCAGCTTCCTAAATGCTGGGATTACAGGCTTGTGCCAACATACCCAACTCCCTACCTTTTTAAATTTTTTTATATTTTTTTCTTCTTATTTTAATTGGGTAATTCAAACTGTTAATGCTTAAAGAGAAAAGTGTAACTGTCAGATTATTTGGCTTTCTGACTCTGGTGTTTACATTTACAGATAATAAAATATATTAATATTTGTTGTTAAAGGGTGAGAATCTGATGGCTTTGGCAGAAGCAACAATTGCTCTTGCAGAAATGTTAGAATTGAAAGCAGATCCCAGTGGTCCAGTGGAAGGAACAGTAATAGAGTCTTTCACAGACAAAGGAAGAGGGTAGGACTGCACTAAAATTCTCCTTTTTAATAATTTGGTTTCATGATTTTTGTGACTTGATTATATAACAATATACAGTGGGCCCTCAAGTTATGACTGGCCTGACATACAAACAACTTGAGTTAATTAGGTTAATGGAAGATTCACTTGCCTCTTGTTATCTATAGTGTGTACCCAGGTAAACATCCTTATCTCAGCTGTACTGACTTATAACCAACTTGAGTTACAACCAGCCCTTGGGAACAAATCGAGTTGTAAGTAACGGGCCCACTGTATTATTAACAAACATTTTATTATTTTTATTGCATATATTATTATTATTGCATGTTGTTAATTCATGAACAATATTTTCAAAGTATTTTTGAAAAGATTTTATTTTACTAGCATACAGAACATAAAATTGAGTAGACTTTAGCAACTATCTGTATACATCCTGTCATATTTAGATGATGTAAGTAATTTAGTTTGTTTTTTCTCCCACTGATTTGACTAAATTGTTAAAGCCTCATAGACAAACAGAAGTTGGGATGAAATAATAATTGTTACATTTTAGCATTTCTAAAATGTTTATGACTTTACCGATTAATGTAATATGTAGGAAGGTTCTTGAATTTCCCTACCTGTTATCAAGAGAGGTTTCTCATTGCTTTATACACTGCAATAATAAGTTTGAGCAGTCACTTAGCTGACTTAGTAGAATAGAAAGTGAATTAGGGAGCTCGGGATTTAGCTCAGTGGCATCGCGCCTGCCTTGCAAGCACAAGGTCATGAGTTCGATTCCTGGTACCAAAAAAAAATTAATTAGGATTTTGTCTGAATACTCTACACCCTCTCTTACTTCCCTTACCATAACCTTGCAAGAATTCTTTTCCCCTCCCATCTGTCCTTTTTTTTTCTTCAAAACTGGGGATTAAACCCAGGATTTCATACATGCTAAGAAGCACTCTACCAATGAGCTACATCCCCAGTCCTTTTAAAAATTTATTTTGAAAAAGTATCTTATTAAGCTGCCTAGGCTGACTTCTAAATTGTGATCCTCCTGTCTCAGCCTCTCAAGTAGCTGGGATTATTGGTGTGTAACACAGTGCCTCACTGGTGTTAACCATTTTTAAGTGTAAAGTTTAGTGGTGTTAAGCAGTATATTCACATTGGTGTACAATAGGTCTCTAGAACTTCTTCATTTTGCAGACCTGAAATTGTATACCCATTAAAGACTTAAACCTCCACCATTCATCTGTTGATGAACATTTGGGTTGCTTTTACCTTGGCAGTTGTGAAGAAATGACTTTTTGTTTTGTTTTATTTGTAGTGCCGGGGCCTCACACATGGTAGGCAAGTGCTCTGCCTCTGTGCTATACCACCTCCACCCCTATAAATATTTTATAGCATCAAAAACTGAGAAATTGAGAAGAGAATTAACCCTGTGGACTCCTAGGTTTATATATATTTTAAACCTCATAAAGATATCTTTGTTCTATTTAAGAAAGTACAATTACTATATATCTTACTTATGACATTAAGAATAATATACTTTTATATTCATTTTAGTCCTGTTACAACAGCTATAATTCAAAGAGGAACTTTGAGAAAAGGCTCAATTTTAGTTGCTGGAAAGAGTTGGGCAAAAGTACGCTTAATGTTTGATGAGAATGGAAAAACAGTCAGTGAGGCCTATCCCAGCATGCCTGTTGGAATTATAGGCTGGAAAGACCTTCCTTCTGCAGGAGATGAAATTCTTGAAGTCAAATCTGAGGTACATTATACTTAATTCCTGTATATTAGATATAATGATTTTAAATATGTCTCATGTTATATCAAATAAATATGTTAGTACTAATGAATAATTCTAGTTTATAAGGGGCCATGAGGTGGCTAGTTGTGCCAATTAGAATTTACAGAATTTTTTAAAAATTTGAGATAAAATGTTAAAAGTTAAATCATTTGGGGGCCGGGGATTTAGCTCAGTGTTTCCAGCACCTACCTTGCAAGTGCAAGGTCCTGAGCTCAATACCTGGCACCAAAAAAAAAAAAAAGTTAAATCATTTCAATTATATACAAAGTTCCCAAATTAAGATTTTATAAGCTTCTTGAAACTTAGAAATTTAGTGGTTTCTTATGTGAGTTAAACTAATTTCATAATGGAGGAAAACACAAAGCCTTTAGCATAGTAGGTATCCTTGTCTTTCATTAAATAATGAGTTTCTCTGACATAAAGTCAAGGGCACGGGAGGTCATTGACTGGAGGAAGTACAAAGAAGAGCAGGAGAAAAATAAAGAAGACCTGAAAATAATAGAAGAAAAGCAAAAGGAACACAAAGAAGCACATCGGAAAGCCCGTGAGAAGTATGGCACTTTGCTTTGGAAGGAGAGATCATTTATAAAGTATTTAGAAAGAAAAGAACAAAGACCCTTGAGGCCAAAAGAGAAAGTAGAAAGAGATTCCAATGTACTTCATGTAATTATTAAAGGTACCTTTTGAGTATTTTACAAGTTTTTTATTTTGGTGGTTCTGGGGATGGAACCCCAGGGACTCATGCATAGTAGGCACATGCTCTGCCACTGAGCTACATACCCACCCCTTTTTACATTTTTATTGTGAGACAGAGTCTTGCCAAATTTCCCAGGCTGGCTTTGAGCTTGTGGTCCTCCTGCCTTAGCCTCTTGAATAGCTGGGATTATGGACATTACTACCATGCCCAGCACAGCTTCCTTTTTGTTTTTTTTTTAATTTTTAAATTTTTTACAGCTCCTTTTTTGAATACACGTATTTATTCTCACCATTAGTTTGGACCCTTAAATTTAAGTGAAAATTATTTCAGTATTTTGAGGGGCATTTTCCAGAGTAAACATATTTCTTGCTGATTTTGTGTAAATGTACATTTTTCCTATATACTTTATTATATAGTTACAATGCTAAGCTTAAATAAAAGTGGTTATGGTGGTAAATGCCATACATATCTTAATTTTTTCTTGTTTCTCTTTTGTTTTTTGAGACAGAGTCTTGCTCTGTCTGGCTTTGAGCTTATTGTGAAGCCCTGCCTGGGCTCAAACTTGTGATCCTCCAGCCTCAGCCTTTCAAGTGCTGAGATCACAGACAGGCATCAGCATACCCAGCTGCATATCTTAACTTTGAATAGATCATTGTCATTTTTGTATCTGTCAATGCCTACTTAACCTACCAATTTTAAACTTTTGCTTTATTTAGGTGATGTTGATGGATCTGTTGAGGCCATTTTAGACATAATGGATACCTATGATGCTTCACATGAGTGTGAACTAGAATTAGTACATTTTGGAGTAGGTGATATTAATGAAAATGATGTTAACTTTGCTGAAACATTTGATGGTAAGGATTCTAGTTCCTACTTGTTTAACTGTGTTACCTAGATTGTGTTATGAATCCTTTACTTTTGTCTTGTTGCTTGGCTCATCAGATCTAACATTCCCATCAGAGTCCAGTCCATCTGCTGCAGTCCAGTCCCAGCTAGCGGTTGAGGCTGAATAGGATGTGCAGTACTGAGGCCCTATCTCCACTTGTCATGGATTACTGCAGCCTTGGGGAACTATTTCAAGACCCAGTAGTGTTTCTTGATTTATTTTTTTTCTAAAGCATTATTACTACCTTATTCTCCACCCAGGCAAAAGTTGATTCTCTCTGTATCTTTCATTAATTTAGACTTTGAGTGCACCACACACTGTTATGAGCCTAATCAGTACTTTCCTTCGTCTTTTACTTTTTAGCTGTTTTTGTTCATTGCTAACTATAAATCTAATTTTTAAACTTTAAATGCCTGTATGGCAGGAGGGACTGTCTTTATTAATTGAACTTACAATACACAATAAAGGGAGTCATGACAAAAGCACCAGCATTGTTGATTAATGAATCATTTAGAAAAGACGTAATTTATAACCTGACTTGATTAGAAGTAGGTATCACTTCTACTATTGGAAAGTTATTTTCAGTAATACTTTTTCAGAATATTTGTTACTGACTAGCTTAGCACTATGATATGTAAGGTAGACAGTATTAAAGGATTTCATAATGCTAAGACTTGTGAAGTGATTGTTGAGTCCTGGTTAAACTGTTTGGGCAAATTTGTTTTAGGTAGGTGTGTCTTGCTTTTGTTTCTCTCCACAAGTATTTATAGTTAAACATATTACTTGTTCTTTGGTAAAATGCTTAGTTCCATGAAAGTTCTTTTGTTTCTTACAACAACTTTTGAATTTGGCCAAAGTCAGTCACTATTTTTAAGCATCTATGGCCATTTGGATACCTAAGTGTAGACCACAAAAATTGTAGGAAATAAAAATAAATTGAATAGTAGAATTATTAAAATAATTATTTCCGCTCTGATCATTTTTAATTTTCTTCTCTTATAAAAATCAAATCTTTGATGTACTGCCTTGTACTTTACAGAACACTAGAAACACTAGTTAAGAAACTAGTGTTTCTTTTTTTTTGTATTAAATTCTTTTATTGGTACATTGTAGGTATACAACACAATTACATTTCTCATTGGGAATTGTACCTTTACATAATGCAACTGGGTTCTTATTTTTTCCCCATTCCTAGCCCTCCCTTCACGCCCTCCACCCTTCCCTGTTTACAAAGACTTTATTTCCATTTTTTCCATTTCTCATCATTTTTCCTTTCCCTTCTTTCCTTTCCCCTGCCCCTCCCACTACCCCTACCCCTTTGGACCTTTTCTTCCTATTTTACATTATCGATTATTCATTCTAATCATTGGTACATTTTAGGTATACAATATAATGACATTCATCATTGGAAATTTGCACCTTTACATAGTCTCTCTTGGTTCTTATTTTTCACCCTTGCCCAGCCCTCCCTTCAACCCCTCCATTCCTCCCTATTTACAAAGATTTTGTTCCTATTTTTCCATTTTCTCATATTAATCCCATTCCCTTCTATCCTTTCCCCTAGCCCTCCCACTTCCTTCCCCTTTGCCCCTTTTCTTCCTATTTCACATTACCTATTACATTTAGTCTTTTTATTTACACTTTCAGTGTTTCTTAAATTAACAGATTTAAAATCAAAAGAAATTTTCCTTATTAAACAAGACATAATAAAATTTATAAAATTCTTTCAGTAATTTGAAAATTTACTAGTTTTCACTAGAAAAAATAGATTTCTCATCTCCCCAGGGACTATTGTTGATTAATTTTCATAGAAGAAAATAATTTGGATTTGTTTCTGTTTGAAAGACAAATATTTGTGCTGTTTTATTGACTATATTTCTGCTTGCCAGGGGTTATATATGGTTTTAATGTGAATGCAAGCAATGTCATCCAGCAGTCAGCTGCAAAAAAAGGAGTAAAAATTAAACTTCACAAAATCATTTACCGTCTTATTGAAGATTTGCAGGGAGAACTGAGCAACAGATTGCCCTGCACTGTGGAAGAACACCCAGTAGGTGAGTGTTCACTGAATGTTACTTTAAAACATACTTCCAGTTCTGTAAATAGCACTTGAAAGTATAGTCAGGGGAAATATATTCACTTTTCCAGTGCAATCTTGTATTCCACGGGAAAAAAAAAAACTACCGTGAGAATGTATGTTAACCTCATGGATATTGTAAACACACGCCCTGTACAACACACTGTGCTGTTTAAGCCCTGGAGATTCAAAGGGAAATAAGCAATAAGAACTTGCTTTCAAGCTTAGATATGAACAACTAATGATAATGGTAATACAGATTCAACTGGGATGGGAGGCATAAAGATTTAATGTCATGAGGGCTGGGGATTCAGCTTAGTTGTTCTGCCTTGTGCCTCGCAAGTGCAAGGTCCTGAGTTCAATCCCCTGTACCAAAAAAAATTTGTCATGAAAGGAGCCATTGATTTTGTCCTGGGATTGGCACAGAAATATACCTTGAGAAGAAAATTTACTTTATATTTAAATATAAAATACTTTGAAAGTCTTGTATAAACTTTGTCCAGATTAAAGGATGAATTAAAAAATTGAGATATTGTGCCCATTTGCCTCTAAAACATGTACATTTACTAAGCATAGGATCATAGGTTATATTTATATGTCATCTTTTTAATCTTTTTTTAAACTTGAAATTTTTGCAGTGTATATAGGTCATCAACTTTATAGAATGTACTTTAAATTTATCTGGTATTTCCTCATAATGGTATTTGGTTTTGCATTTTTGGTCATAATACAGATATAATTTAGGGTTCCATGATCATAATGAGGTTATGTTCTTGTACTAAGAGCAATTTTTTTTTTTTGGTACTGGGGATCAAACTCAGGAACTCGTGCTTGCTAGGCAGGCGCTATGCTGCTGAGCTAAATCCCCAGCCCACTAAGCAATTTAAAAAAGTTGTATGTGAGTTTCTAGAGGTGAGCAAACACATCAAATGCCATTAACTAACACCACTTAAGTAATACCCTAGAAAACTGATAATTATAGGTTGTGCTGTTGGAATTTTAATTTCCAGAGGAAAAACTTACAGAATTAGTACTCTGAAGTGGATATAAAAACATTGAAGTGATTTAAAAATAAATCAGTTAAATGATAGTTATCTACTCCAGAAAATATTTTACATGAAAGCTGAAAGCTAGGTTTTCCTGGAACAGACAGGAATAGCCAAGGATTTTCATCTGTTATTCCTAACTATTGGTCAGGAAAATAAAGTTGGTGCAAAGAAATCAGGACTTTTTTCTGTGCATGAGCTCATCCACTATCCCTCCAGTGCTGGGGTCAGACCAAGGTCTTCATCCCTGTTAGGCAAGTGCTAAACTACATCTCCATCTCAAGTTCACTGTATATTGTCAGGCATTATATATTTCTCAGAACCAGTAGTTTTCGGTACATTAATGTTCTTTTCTTCCTAAAGGTGAGGCTTCTGTATTAGCTACTTTCTATGTAACAGATGGAAAAAAAAAAATTCCTGTGGCTGGCTGCAGAGTCCAAAAGGGACAGTTGGAAAGACAAAAAAAATTTAAATTAATGCGTAATGGACATGCTATTTGGAAGGGTAAGCAACATCAAAATCCATGTCTGGGGCCTGGGATTTAGCTCAGTGGTTTCGCAGCAAGGACCTGAGATCAATCTCCGGTACCAAAAAAAAAAAAATCCATGTCTGTTTCATATCCAGTCACCAAACCTTATGTAGCCCTTTCAAATCTGCTCTTTTACTCCCATAATCCTAGTTCAGGCCACTTTTAACTGCTTTGTAGTTGGATTTCCTCCCTGCTTTCACATGTGGGTGTGGGTAACTGGGAACTAAACCCAGAACCCTTGCACTGAAGTACATCTCCAGCCTTTTTAAAAAATGTTAAGACAGGATCTCCCTAAGTTGCTCAGTTGCCCAAGTGGGGCTCAAACTTGTGATCCTCTTGCTTCATCGTTCCAGACTGTTATTACAGGTGTGCGCCATCATGCCTGGCTCCTACTAGTTCTGATGACTCCTCCAGGATTGTTCATCTCCCAGTCTTGACAGGCCAAGCTTTTACAAATTGGCCCCCAACTACCTTTCCAATTCCATCTCCTACACTTCTACATTCTTCCTCTTTCTTAACTTGACCTTTTACCTATGTTTATTCCCATTTAAATCCTAACTATAGTCTTGTCCTCTGCAACGTCTTAATCTGCCATTATTTTGAGGGGGAGATCTTGGGTTCCGTAGGTCTTCCCTCTATCAGTCTACTGGTAGCCAGCCTCCAAGTAGGGACTAGTAGGGCCACCAAGCTGGGCTTACTTTATCTTTAAAATGGGAGATTTATATCTTTTGCTACAAGTCACATCTTTACAGGATACTTTATTTAATTCCATTTAACACTGCAAAATTTCTAAGAATTTCAGTGTAATTTTCCTTTTACAACCAAACTACACACCATTAGTAGGTACTTTAATGAGTCAATATACTAACCTGAAGTTTTTTTTTTTTAATTAAAGGTTCATTAACCTCACTGAAACACCATAAAGATGATATTTCAGTCATCAAAACCAGGATGGAATGTGGTCTCAGTTTAGATGAAGAAAAAATAGAATTTAAAGTGGGAGATGAAATTGTTTGTTATGAAGAAAAGGAAGTTCCAGTTAAGACTTCTTGGGATCCAGGATTTTAAAATTACATTAAAATGTCAACTAAATATTTTGCTTTATTTATAGAGCAGCTAGTTTTTCCTTTTTTGAAGGTAAAAGTTCACCAGTAACAGATTACAAAAACTGTCAAGGGGGCCAGGGATATAGCAGTGGCACAGCACCTGGCTGGCAAACATGAGGTCCCGAGTTCAATCTCTGGTACCAAAAAAAGAAAAAATTTGTCAAAATTGCTACAGAAATAGGAAACCTGAAAAAGATGCATCCAATTAGAAATCCTGGAAAGACCAAATACCTAAAAAGGGTATCAGTGGCATCATTGAATGTTATCAGTTTAGTCCCCTTTAAATTGAGCTTCATGGGCAAAATATGGTACCAGATTTATCCTGAATATTAAATCCCCATGCATTCATGCACAACACTGACGAATAACTAATGTTCCCTTAATGTGCAGCCAACAGGTCTCAGAAGGACTCACAATGTATTTCTGAATGATTCAGCAATTTGAAGTTGTGTATAAATGTGTGGTACTAGGAACTGAAGGGCTTTAAGGCCTTTCTGGTCCTTTTTAAAAATATTGAGAAAATAACTCGCTGAGGCTAGCCTTGAATTTGTGATCCTTTTGCCTCAGCCTCCCAGAACACTAGGATTACAGATATGCAGTGCCACAGTGGAGAACCCACTAAGAATTATCTGACCCGTATCTAGTGTTGAGGTTAAAAAAACTGGCCTCACTACTATGAAGTGAAAACATCAAGCTCTTTCCATGCAGCGGGCACTTTGCAGATATCCAGAAACTACAAACAGGTCACACACTATTCCCAGAAGCAAAATTTACATGATGGCAGAAGCACATCATGGTGGGTTCTATCAAGATTAAAATGACCATCGGTTTGACACTCAAAATTTCCTTAAATTTATGTGCAATAAAATTCAACTGCTAAATGTTAGCTGAAGTCTTTTATTAACTCATGTATAATTACTTGTCTTCTGGTTTGTTGAAGCAGTAAGTCAGACAACACTTGCCACAATAATGTCTGTCAAAGTGGCTTGCCATAAAAACTCCAGCACCACATTCATCTGAAGGGCACTCCCGACGAAGACGACTAATTTTGCCATTTTCATCCACCTGAAAAGTATAAATCTGCTGTAAGCTAATTTTATACAAATTCTGAAGTCTGATTTAAATAACCCAAAATATCTAACTTTGAAACACAATGCTGGTGGGTTTTAGTGCTTACAAGCCAAAGTATTCTAAACTATTACCAATAATTTTAATAGAAAAGTTTAAAAACCCAGCTTTGCAAGTGGTAGATGCCCAAAGAATCCAGATCTCACTGCAAACTAAAAACCCTATTTGGAACAGCTTACAGTGAACTCCAAACAGGAAAAACTCCAGAAACTTTAAAGAAAGTCTTATTTCCAAAACGCCTCATTTAAACCAAAAGTAGGTAATACTCAATATTCAAATACTGTATATTCAAGTCCAATTATTTCAGACAATGTTGACAGGTTAGTATGAAGACTGCTTGTACACAAATGAGAAACTGGCTCACCTTATAGTATTTCAGGACAGCCAACTTAACCTTCTTTCTCTTATGCTTATTCTTCTTGGGGGTGGTGTAAGACTTCTTCTTCCTTTTCTTAGCACCACCACGGAGTCTCAACACAAGATGAAGGGTGGACTCCTATTCATGCAACAGAAGATGAAACAGGCTTTTATGGTACACATTAATGGACCAATATGGCGCATCTCCTAGTTAATATAAAGTCACCTGGAAAGAATCTGTTTGCTAGTCTCTTTCTTCCATTTTTGTGTCAAACTTAAATTAAAAAGTTTCCCAAATAAAACTATTTGTAAGGGGATGCTTTTCCCCTAAACAAACCTTTTGAATGTTGTAATCAGACAAAGTACGTCCATCTTCCAGTTGCTTACCAGCAAAGATCAGCCTTTGCTGATCAGGAGGAATTCCTAATGAAAAAAACAATTCAGAAGAACATCATTTACATATTTCAAATTAACAAACTAATAATCCTGAATCAAGTAACTGCTATGTATAGCTCTCAGTACAGGCACAGCACCATTATAAATGTTACATTTGTTAGTAAATTTAATACACACCAACTTACTAGTTTTCATTTTATAAATTAGCAAACAGGATCAGAGAAATTCACACACAAAATGTCCCGCAGAGATTCTAATCTAGCCTGCTTCCATGCTCAAGGCGTGTTACATTCCAGAGTCCATCAGTAAATAGGCAAAATACACCTAGCCCTTTCAGGTAAGCAGGTGTCTTTAAATGTTAATTTCTGTGAACAACAAAAAAATTTGTTTTTCTTTTGAGACAGTTTTGGATGTAGTTCAGGCAGGCCTTGAACTCATTATGTCTCCCAGGCTGGCCTCCAACTTGCTACAATCCTCCTGCCTCAGCCTCCTCAGTGCAGGGATTACTGGTACAGCCCGCCCCCCTCCCCCAAACTACAAAATATTACTTACCTTCCTTATCCTGGATCTTGGCTTTTACATTTTCTATAGTGTCCGAGGGTTCAACCTATTAAATTAAAAATCCAAGTATGTTGGCTACGCAGCAAGAAACTAGAACGGTCATTTAATTAAACAGTTACCACAGGACCTAACCGAAGTTCACCCAAATGAGCTGACACAGTGGGCGACCTCCCCTAGACTGGTGCAGCCAAGCACAATCTGGGCTCCAGCACCGGGCAGGCGGCGGCTGCGGGGCCACACGTGCTCGCGCTCGCCTAGCGAGAGGCGCCTCCTTCTCTGCAGCAGGGTCCCCTTGCTTTACATTTGGGGGGAACTACTCTAGAAGTGACCGGCCCAGTTTGGGGGCACCGAAAGGCAGCCCTCGGGTCATGATCAGCAAACTACCCTCAATACAAGGCTAGGCCCCAGAACCCAAATTCGGAAACGTGTTCTAACACTTGCTAAGCAGCGCTGGTCCTGAAATCCACCTCAGGACCTTAATCAGTTCTGGGCTTCCTCACACCACCTGGCCCATACCTCGAGCGTGATGGTCTTCCCCGTAAGGGTTTTTACGAAAATCTGCATCTTGGCGGCGGTCCCACCTTAAGTCGATGAAAAGAAAGAAGTAGGTTAGATCTATAGATACGGTAGAGGGCGACCCACAAGCCACGAGCCGGGGACAGGCCTCAGAGAAGACACTCACCACGGACGGCGGATCCGAAAGGAAGACCGCCTCGAGGGCCCACGGACTATCACGACCGAAGGTCCCACCCCTTAGACGACTACAGCAAATGCCTGGCTGCCGTCTCAGAGGCTGTCTAACGCAGTGCCAGATTAGGTTGTGAAAATCTTTTCTTTTTCTAAGTCTAGGCTTATTTCTCACTTTAGCCTTCAGAATGCTTTCAAAAAACATTTCAACAATTTCAAAATGTTTTAAAAAGACTTTTCCCATACAGCCTACAAGGACAAGAGTGTCTCACAAAGTGGACGACTGAGATTGGGGAAGAGGAAATGGAAATGTCTTCTGGGAGTTGTAGTTTCCCAGTCCTCTCTTCGAGAGAGGATTACTTGTCCCAAAATGCAATTCTCCACCTGTAGGCTCCCTAGTTACTATCTCTATGCACTGGAGTCCAGTCAGGAGACGGGGATCCAAGTGAGGACCCGAGAAGGTAGCAGAATAATGGTTTCGAGCAGGGTGGAAATTATTAGAGGAAACCGTTTAAGGGGCAGGAAAATATTGTGAGGCATGAAAGTGTCGTTCACCCGCTTACAGAGGCGCTGAGAGGCGGAGGATTATCGACCAATTTAGACGCTGTCTGGGACTCCAAGAGAATAGAATCTCCTTGTGGTCTACTCCAGGAAAACTGAAAGATAAATGAAATGAGGGTTCAACCTTTTCTTACCTTACCGTAGCCTCCGCCTCGCTTTCAACCCCCAAGTCTCCTAGTGTGAGGAAGGTTCCGGACCAGGTATGTCACTCGTTATAGTGTGAAACAGTTCAATGTAAAGAAACTTTTAGTTTTCCAAGTTTTAAAATGGAATCATAAAGGAAAGGAACCTGTTAATAGTTGTAGAATTAGGTTATTTAATTGTAGAATTTACAAATTTAGACGTGGAGAGTGTTGGTGAAGGACCTAAAAGGAAAGTTTTGGGGTATGTATAGCAATTTATGCCCTTGCCCTGTCCTTTCTTCAGTCCACAAACTACAGAGTCCTTTCTAATGTACCCTCTTAATTCTTTCTCCTTTTCATCTCCCCACTCCCAAATTCATGGTTCCTTAATTTTCTCCTGGAGGGATCCAGTATCTATCTCCTTGCCTTACCGCTTTTCAGTCTTTATCCCCTTTTGATCTATCTGCTCTGTTGCCTTCAAAATATTCATTCCCGAAAAAATGATCATTCTCTTTCAAATACTCCACATTTAGGACATGGTCCAAATTTCTTAGTATGACATTCAGCCTCTGCCTTCCTTACAACCTGGTCTGCTAAACTAATCACTCACTTTACATCTTAATAACATTGAATTGATTGAATTTTCTGACTTATGCTCTCATGCTTTGGCGCTTCTGAATTACCCATTCCTTCCCTCTTCCTGGAACATTTTTTCATGCTGTAGTTTGCCAAGTACTCTCCACCTTCACAACAAAATTTAAAAATGTTAACAGATGTTGTCTCCAAGCCAGGTGTGGTGGTACACACCTGTAATCCCAGCACTTCGGAGGCTAAGGCAGGAGGATCGCCACAAGTTCAAGACCAACTTGGGCTACATAGTGAGTTCAAGGCCAGCCTGAACTACATAGCAAGACCCTGTCTCAAAACAAAACAAAACGACATTGTCTCCAATTTACCCCTTCTCTCAGGCTTTTGTCCCTACCATTCTGGTGGAATAGGTCTTGTAATGTTCACTAATGTCTTCCATTTTGGTAAATTCAATGGTCACTTCATCTTATTTGATGTAAACAGCGTTTTACACAGTTGATCACTACCTACGTCTTTGAGACATTTTCTTCACCTGACTTCAGGGCACCACTTTTATTTCTAACACTCTGGAAGCTCTTTTTCAGTCTCTTACTGCTTCCTCTTGATCTAAAAGACCTCTAAACTCAGAGCATCCTTAGTCCTAGGATCTTTGCTTATTTACATTTTCTAGGTTATCTTATTCTAATAACATTTAAATACCTTTTATATGCAGATGACTCATAAACTTACCTCTCACTCAGACCACTAATATTGAACTTCTTATTCACATATCCAGCTATCTACTCAACATCTCAGGAAATTGTTCTTTCTATCTCCATATATAGCAATTCTAATTTTTCGACTTGCTAAGGCCAGAAACTTTATGGTCATCCTTGATTACTCTTTCATATTCTACATCTGTCTAATTCTTCAGCATATCTTGGCTTTACTTTGTTTGTTTGTTTGTTATTTTTGTTTTTTGAGACAGGGTCTTGCTATGCAGTTCACACTGGTCTCAAATTCACTATGTAGCCTGGGCTGGCCTTGAACTTACAGCAGTCCTCCTGCCTCAGCCTCCTGAGTGCTAGGGCTACAGACGTGCACCACCACACCTGGCTTGGCTTTACTTATATAATGTATGCAGAACACTTCTCACCACCACTGCTACAACCTTGTTTCAAGACACCATCATCTTTTACACAGATTATCACCTTCTAACCATGCTTACAGCTTTGACCCTTGTTGCTTGTAATCTGTTCTGCACAGAAAAGTCAGATGATTCTTTCTTTCTTTCTTTCTTTCTTTCTTTCTTTCTTTCTTTCTTTCTTTCTTTCTTTCTTTCTTTCTTTCTAGACAGGGTCTCATTATGTAGTTCAGGCTGGCCTTGAACTCACTGTGTACCCCAGGCTGGCTTTAAACTTACAATGATCCTCCTGCCTCTGCCTCCTGAGTGCTGGGATTACAGGGGCTCTTTAAAATGCAAGTCAGCTGTTAACTCTTCTGTGTTCCATCTCACTCAGAGGGAAGCCTAAGCTTCTATAAGCAAGCCCGTTGCTCAAGCATTGGACAAGTGGAGGCCACAATCCAGCCCATTGCTCTGCCAAATCTGTCCAGAGAAAGGGACACCTTTTTCTAAACTACACAAAAGGGTCCCATGAGCTGGTAGTATGTCCTACATGAGGTGACAGCTACCTCTCTGACCTCTTCTCTCCCTTGCTCATTCTCTTTGAGCCCCACAGGCCTTGCTGTTCTCTAACACACTGTCCCACTCTGTGGCCTTTGGACTTGATGTTCTCTTTGCTTTAACAACTTCTTCCAGGAATCTATATGACCTGCCTTTTTCAGATGTCTGAAATCATCAGCTTGCCAGTGAGGGCTTTTCTCTTTCTTAACTCTATATAAGATAGTGTCCTCCTAACTTCCTTACTCTATCCCTCCTACCTTGACTGTTTTTCTCCGTAAAACTTACCCCCATCTGTCACATGTTTTTCACTTATGTGTTGTCTGTCTCTACTTGAGGTTTTATTCAATGCTATATCTCTGCCATCTAGAATAGTGGTAAACACAATAGGCACCCTCAAAATATTTATTGAATAATTAAATGCAGCATAACTTAAGCATTACCCTAGATATTATTCCACCAGGTTGGTGATGGCGATCCTTTTAGAACTTTCAGTGATGCAAACGCATGCTGTGGCATGGGAACTATAGGTTTGCCACCCACTGCACTAGATGTTTCTTCTAACATTTCCATATCTTCTCGTAGGTTAGTGAGATGCCCCTCTGGGCTTTTGTGCCACTGCTGTCATTGTCTCCTGTGCTCAGTAGCAGTGGCTCACTTATTAGATCCAATAGGTTTGACTGGGATCCCAGGTGACTTGTTTTCAGTGTATCCCTAAGTGTCCAATATGAATGAATGAGTAAATGGCAATATAAGTTGGTGTAAGATGCTAAGGAACAATTGCTTTAATTATGTTCTGGCTTGAGGGCACCATAAGTCACATGTCTTCTGGGCAGACAAGATTATTGCTTAGTGAGAAGGCAAATACTTAAGACCCAATGCTAGAAACTATTATGCATTGGAGTGCATATGGGTGGGGGAGGTATAATGGGAAATGAGAACATTTTAGTTCATGATCTTGTCAAACTTATAGTCTAATGGGGGAGTCAGAAAATATACACTTAAACTTTGTATCCACTTGTAGGTATTTACCTTATGGAACAACTTTATGTTCATTTGTAAATTGCCTATTATCCAGTATATCAGCATAAATATACATTTAGTGAAGCCAGGTATGGTGGCACATACCTTTAATCCTAGCACTTGGGGGCCTGAGGAGGTGAGTTTGAGGCCAGCCTGAGATATATAGCAAGCCTCTGTCTCAAAAAAAAAAAAAATTATCCTCTTTTTAAAAACTTTTAATTTTTGCCAGAGATTTAGCTCAGCAGCACAGCGCCTGCCTGGCAAGCACAAGGTCCTGAGTTCAATCCCTGGTACTGCAAACAACAACACCCAAAAACAACAATAACAAAAGTTAAGGTGTAAAAGGCTGTTAAAAGAAACTATGAAGTTATCAAAAGTTTTAATTTTTGTTAGTACGTGTTTACCATACACAGTGAATATATCCCTTGTGAGGAGTTGATACATGTGTATAACATATCTTAATTCGTTTTTTTGTTTTTTTGGTACCGGGGATAAAACTCGGGACCTTGTGTTTGTGAGGCAGGCAGCAGAACCACTGAGTTAAATCCTTGGCCCCTTCATTCATTTTTATCCCCTTTTCCTCTCCCACTCCTTTCATCTCTTAGTGTCTTTCAGTTTTGAAAAAGATCTATCTCCCTATTTCCTATTATCTGTTTTTTATTTTGCTCTTTATATTTTGGGTTTCTCATATAAGAACAACCATATATATATAATTATTTTTTGTATCAGGGATCGAAATCAGGACCTTGCGCTTGTGAGGCAGGCAGTGGCACCACTGAGCTAAATCCCCGGCCCAACCATGCAATATTTAAATTTGTGTGTCTAATTTATTTCATCATGGTCTCAGGTGCATCATTTTCCTATGAAAGACTCAAGTTTGTCTTTCTTTATGGAAGAGTATACTTCTTTGTGTATAAATACCACATTTTCTTTATCCATTCATCTGTTGATACACATGTAGGCCACATCCAAGATTTAGCTGTTATTGATTGTACTGCTATAAACATGGGTATGCATTTATCACTGTAATAAGATGTCTTTAACTCTTTGGGGATGATACCTAGAAGGAGAAGAACTGAGTCAAGTGGGATTTCTATAGGTTTTTGTGGAAAGTCCAAAGTAATTTCTGTGGCGGTTGTACTAGTTTACATTCCTACCAACAATGTAGAATGGTTTCTATTTCCCCAAAGCCTCACCAGCATTTGTTATTATTTGATTTCTTGATGATAGTCATTCTTTTTGGAATAAGATGGAATCTTAATATTGTTTTGATTAGGGTATCTCTAATGGCCAGAGATGTTGAACATTTTATCATGTAGGTATAGGCTATTTGTACTTCTTCTGAGAAGTTTCTAATCATTTCCATTGCCCATTTTTTTATTGATTCTTTTAATTAGGGGAGTAATTATTTTGAGTTCTTTATATATTCTTAGATATTACTACTCTCTCTGAGGAATAGAAGGCAGACAATTTTTTTCCCATTCTGTAGGTTGTCTCTTCACTGTGTTGGTTGTTTCCTTTGCTGGACAGAAGTTTTTCATTTGATGTAATCCCATTTGTTTTGTTGTTGTTGTTTTGTTTTTGTTTTTGAATTTATTTTAATTTAAAT